ACTACCTCCGGTGTGCGATATGTGCTTGCAAGGGCTTTAGCAGGATGGGGGGAGGGGCCAGGCAGCAGGCCACACCCCCCCCAAGTAGGTGTGTGATGATTGGTTGTTTTCCACCCGACCCTCCCTGCATGATGAAATGTAGGGATGGCATAAACGTGTGTGTGCATTCTTAGTATGATGTGGTTTGTGGGGTGGGAGGGGGGCTGTTTATATCGACTGTGTGTTTTGATGACGCAGTGTGCACACATAAGAGCATTTATCTCTTCCTGTGTGTGTTTATCTCTGGAAGGTGTCCATCCATCACTGTGCATGCAAAAGCCGGCCCACCAGAGACCAAGAGCACATTTTCAGAAAATGGGGACAAAAGGCGCCTACAAAAGGCCCTGAGAGCTGCAGAGAGAGACGAGTGCAGCAGCATCTGACTGAGACCATAGAGGAGTGTTGATGTGGGGAGACGCCACATGCGTTACCTGCCTGAGTGTTTTGAGGTTTCATCTTGTTCCCCTGACAGGGGGTTTGTGGGGGTGGGGGGGCTGGCAGGTGGGATGGGGGAGGGTGATTGGCCCCTTCCAGGTGCCGTTTCCTTTTGGGCAGAAAAACAAAAGAGACTGCATAGTAACGCCTGTCCAGTGTGTGTGTGTTTGGTCCAGATATACCTTACCTTGTGGGGACCAAACGTCCACACAACATGATGAATACCTGTTCTTTTTTACCTTATGGGGTCCAGTTTTTTGGTCCCCATAGAGGGAAACTCAATTTTATGAAAATCTGGGAATGGAATCAAAAAACTAAAAATGGCAAAAGTCACAAAAGTTACTTACAGACCCGACATGGATGGTGCCGATTCTACACACAGACTCAACATGGGCACCAAAATTCCCCAAACAAATCTTACACAGGCATCAGGATTCCCCACACAGACCCGACGCGGGTACTGCGATTCCCCACACAGACCCGACGCGGGTACTGCGATTCCCCACACAGACCCGACGCGGGTACTGCGATTCCCCACACAGACCAGATACAGGCACCGTGACTCCCCACACAGATCTGACACAGGTACCATGATTCCCTGCAGAGACTCGACATGGGCGCTGCGATTCCCTAAAGATGTCCGAGGGCTCATCATGAGCCCTGGATCCTACTGCCTGCCTGGATATACCCAAGTGCTCATCGTGTGCCATGATGTCCTACTACCCGCCCGTTTATACCTGAGAGCTCATCCAGTGCCCTGGGTCCTACTGCCTGCCCGGTTACACCTGAGTGCTCATTGTGTGCCATGATGTCCTACTACCCGCCCGGTTATACCTGAGAGCTCATCCAGTGCCCTGGGTCCTACTGCCCGCCCGGTTATACCCAAGTGCTCATCGTGTGTCATGATGTCCTACTGCCCGCCCGGTTATACCTGAGTGCTCATCGTGTGCCATGATGTCCTACTACCCGCCCGGTTATACCTGAGAGCTCATCCAGTGCCCTGGGTCCTACTACCCGCCCGGTTATACCTGAGAGCTCATCCAGTGCCCTGGGTCCTACTGCCTGCCCGGTTATACCTGAGTGCTCATCCAGTGCCCTGGGTCCTACTACCTGCCCGGTTATACCTGAGTGCTCATCCAGTGCCCTGGGTCCTATTGCCTGGCCAGTTATACCTGAGTGCTCATCCAGTGCCCTGGGTCCTACTGCCTGCCCGGTTACACCTGAGAGCTCATCCAGTGTCCTGGGTCCTACTACCCGCCCGGTTATACCTGAGAGCTCATCCAGTGCCCTGGGTCCTCCTGCCCGCCCGGTTACACCTGAGAGCTCATCCAGTGCCCTGGGTCCTCCTGCCCGCCCGGTTATACCCGAGTTCTCATCCAGTGCCCTGGGTCCTCCTGCCCGCCCGGTTATACCCGAGTGCTCATCCAGTGCCCTGGGTCCTCCTGCCCGCCCGGTTATACCTGAGTGCTCATCCAGTGCCCTGGGTCCTACTGCCCGCCCGGTTATACCTGAGTGCTCATCCAGTGCCCTGGGTCCTACTGCCCGCCTGGTTATACCTGAGTGCTCATCCAGTGCCCTGGGTCCTACTGCCCGCCNGGTTATACCTGAGTGCTCATCCAGTGCCCTGGGTCCTACTGCCCGCCTGGTTATACCTGAGTGCTCATCCAGTGCCCTGGGTCCTACTGCCCGCCCGGTTATACCTGAGTGCTCATCCAGTGCCCTGGGTCCTACTGCCCGCCCGGTTATACCCGAGTGCTCATCGTGTGCCATGATGTCCTACTGCCCGCCCGGTTATACCTGAGTACTCATCCAGTGCCCTGGGTCCTACTGCCCACCCAGTTATACCTGAATGCTCATCCAGTGCCCTGGATACTACTGCCCGTCCGGTTATACCTGAGTGCTCATCCAGTGCCCTGGGTCCTACTGCCCACCCGGTTATACCTGAGTGCTCATCCAGTGCCCTGGGTCCTACTGCCCGCTCACTCATTCGCACCCCATTCTTCCGGAAGGACACCTGCTCTCTCTGCGTGACAAAGCGTTGAAAATGCTGCTCTTCTCTTTTCCCCTCCTTGGCTTGATTTATATCAGCTAAAAATAACGGGGACTATTAAAGGTCGATCGCTGAGAACAGGCGGCCAGTACGTCACTCCGATGGAAGCACCTGCCAAGCAGGGCACTGTGATCATGGTTACGCAACAACCTCCTGGAGCACGAGGTGGCACGCCTGCACCCCCCACCCCCCCAGCCTATCCGGTGTATGGGAAAAGCACAAACACATCCCCCCCCCCCATACGCACACAGTGTGGGAAAGCCCGTGGCGGGGGTGTGGGGGCGGTGTTATCCCTGGCATTGCTGCAGCGAGGAGGGGAGGAGCAGGATGTGGGAGTCCCATGTGTGGCCATTTCCTGCCTCTGGATTCATTTTTCTCCAAGAGAAAAGAATCTCGCTCACCATCTCCCACGGGGCTGGGAGAGAGAGTGGGAGCCGAACCCCGTTTGTACGGCAGAACTCTCCAGAACACTCAGCTCCTTCCACCAGGACCCCGCTCAGAAATACGCTGTCATCACTGTTGTGTGAGGATGTGGCTCCCGTATTGTTTTTTGTCAAATTTTTGGGGCACCTCCCAATTTCGAGGTGCGGTCGGTTGATGCATCTGCAGCCGAGAGACGGTACAGAAAGGAACATGGGGAGAACCTCGTCCTGAGCGGCGCAGGAACCAGGAACCAGCCCTGAAGGCACCAGACCCGTGGAGAAGAGGGAGCATGCCAGGGGTGAGAGGACTGGGAGAGTAGCTTCAGAGGAGCACTGACCCCCCCTCCAGGGCCTCCTCCGCAGAGTCGCTGGATGGACCGTGTTTACACAGGGCTGACAGCGCCTTCCTGTGTCCCAGGCCCGGTTCACGGGGGGGGGGCATCTCCTCTTAAGTAGGTCACTATAAACTACCAGTTTCCTGCCTGGGACTTAAGCCGTCTCGGGGAGCTTCCCAGAGGAGCTAAAGACACATGGTGCCCCCCCCCCCCGGACTGGACAGATGTGCACAGCTGTGTGACAGAGGGTCCCTGTAGAGAGAGAGAAGAATGTCCAACAGAGGTGCTGTGCCATAAACACGGCATGTTTGGCCAAATTACAGTGGAAGGGCGCGGCCCGTCCGCCCTGCAGTGGGAGGAAAGCTCTCTAATCTTAGGCACGACTAGCATCTCATTTTCCATATGGAGATGGAGCCCAACCAGCCTTCACTGACGGAAATAACATATGGAGGCCCTGAGTGGTATTTTGGGTCCTCAGCTGGTTTACATGTGGCCAGGAGCTGCATATAAATGGAGGGAGGCCATGTTCAGAGCTGGGCTGGAGAAGACGTGTGATGCAGGTGGGAGCAGGACCTCTGCATGGGCTCGACCTGCTGTACTGCCACCTACCTGTGGGAGGCGCCAATAAGGGCCTCGGCTGAGCAGATCCACAGAGCTGTGTCTGTAGCTGTCTCCCGTTCACCCCGCGCTCCTGCACGCCTGCAGCGACTTGCTGATATTCGGTGCCAGCAGAGGCTGGGAAGTCACAGCGTTCTCACAGTCTGTCTGTGTGCCTGCAGTTGCTGACTGTCTGGGCCGATGTTTCACAACTGGCTTAGCAGCAACCCCCCCAGCACACACACACAGATACCACACATACGGTATGCAAGCCAGTTCAACAAAACAGCCCCCCTCCCCAACCAGAGATACAACAAAAAAAATTCTTCCTAGGACACGAAGAAAAGATTTCAGAAATATCTGCTCAGAATAGAAGACATTCCTAAAACAGACAAAATAAGGAGTCCGGGGACACAGAGCGACAGTCCTTTAGTAGCTCAAACAACATTCAAAATAAGACCACAGATATGGACCACGACTAAGAGCAAGAGTGCTGTGTCGAAAGAGGGGGGAGGGGGTGTTAACAGGAATGAGGACTCACAAGCACACACATACCTAGACATACACACTCACAGAGACACTCACACACACACACTCACAGAGACATACACACTAACACACACAAACACACACACTCACAGAGACATACACACACACAGAGACACATACACACTCACACATACACACATACACACTCACACACACACACACACACACTCACCAGCAGCCAAGTGGCAGGCAAGTACAATGTCTTGCACGTCCCGACTGGATTTAAAAAAACAGCGTCCCATTCCTGTGCCGGCAGTCACTCCAGCGTGCGAATAAGGGATTGCGACAGCTGGCTTCCTGCCAGCTGCCCCCCCCCCCACCTCCAGCAAATAATACAGCACCATGACTCAGAGTGAGTGTGCGCACAGGAGTGGGCCGGCTCGGAGGAACAGGTGTCGAAACGCAGCAGGTGCACAGCCATACCGCTCTGCCTGCCGCCTTCACCTGTTCCTCTCCCCTGCAGGTCCTGTCCACCCCATCAAAAAAAAAAACCCAGTCAGCTTCTTGTTAGGCCCCTGTTACCAAAAGCTGTCCCACCACCCAAGAAGAGAGACCCCAAGAGTACTACCGACATGTAATAATTTGTTGCTTTTTAATTCATACGAAATACAAAGGACCATAAAATAAGTTGGTAAAAACGCAAAGTGAAACTGCATAAGCATTTTACAAAAATGTCTCATCCCCCAAGGAACAGGAGAGAGGAGTTAAAAACATCTGGAATCTCATTCAAAGAGAACAGGCCAAGATTACAAAAAATACATGTGAGGCTCTGGAACACTGAGCTTTTCATAGAGTTGTGTCCCTGAAACTAATTTACTTCTCCTTCCTTTCATTACCCATCAACACAGATGCTGGTCCCCTTACAGGGCAGCTGGGCTCCGGCAGCAAAGGAGCACGAGCACATCTGCCTTCTGATCCGGGATCCGGGATCCGGGCCTGTTTACACGAGAAGGCCGCGTGGTCCAGGTGCGAGGCTGACGCTGTCCTGCTACAGGCTGGGAATACACACCGAGATACACTGCAGGGGCACCAAGGTGTACAGAGGCCCCTCAGAAAATGGCAACTGGCATCAGCTGCCCCTATACCCCCCCCCCCCCCCACCCTCCTCAGCGCAGGCTGCCTCATCCATGTTGGCCACCAGGAGAGGAAATCACCTGTCGTCACAGTGAAGGTGGGCATTTGTGCACATGTCCACACCAGCGCAGCTGTCCCAACACATTCCTGAGAGAGTCTGCACCCCCCCAGCCCCCCCCCCCATACACCATCATGCGAGTGTGTGGGTGTGCAGCGCTCCTCAAACACATGGCTAACAATGGCTGAACCAATGTTCCCCAGGAGGAAGTCCAGCCCCCCCAGAGTTCTCTGCTGGGGGGGTGCGGTCAGGTGTCCAGGGCGTGATGGAGAATTTGGAGAACAAAGCACCCCCCCCCCCCACGGGCTCCAGTGCCGCTCACATGGAGACGGGGCCGCAGCCAGAGACGGAATGCTTGTGCAGCAGGGAGATGCGGCTGAAGGTACGTGCGCAGGCGCTACACTGGTACCGCTTCACGTCGGCATGTGTCTGCAGGTGGGCACGCAGGTTGGAGCGGTCGGCGAAGGCGCGGCTGCAGTGGGGGCAGGAGAATGGGCGCTCACCTGCAGGGGGTGACAAAAACACATTCATCTCGACACCCACTGAATGCAGAGAGACAAACAATCGATTAATCAATCAGTCTGACTCTCACATATTATCCCACTCACTGAGACTTTGAAACATGTGACCAATTTGATTAGATTAGAATATTGACTATTGGTCTTTGAAGTTCTATGGACTTTGATATTCCAAGTTCTAACGGGATTTGCAGCATTCTTAAGCGTTACCTTATATTTACAAAATCCAACACAAAGCCACTCTTCTTTACAGACTGTTCTCATTGTCTAGCTAGCATGCAAGATAGGACTGTCCTGCCACTCTGAAGGAGGGACTGCTTCCCCCCCCCGCTAAGCAGACCGGCGTGATGTAATCACCGGTGTGGGTGCGGATGTGGCCCCGCAGTAGCCAGGGCCGGGAGAAGGCTTTGCCGCAGGTGGGACACACGCACGGCAGGGTGTGTGAGCGGATGTGCATCTTCAGCGCCCCCAGACTGCTGTACTCCTTGGGGCAGTGTTTGCACCGCAGTGGCACACGGGGGGAGGCAGCCGCAGGAGTGTCATCCACGGTGGAGGCTGGGTGCTGGGGGGTGCGGAGGGGCCTACGACGGGCCGGCTCCGGACTGGGGGGGTCAGATGTGCGGCCCTCATCCTCCTCTTCCCCACTGCTGCTGCTGCTGGAGGGGGAACTGAGGTCGAGAGGCCCCGAGGGCGAGGCGCCTATGGTGGGGGCCGGAAGGATGCTCAGGTTCCACACCAGTCCCACCGCAGAGTGCTCCACGGGGGGAGTTGCGGGGAGGTAACCTACAAGAAGAAGCGCATATCCTATCAGGAAAATGTGCTCAGTCTTCAGTACAAACATCACCATGCTCTTTAGAAACATTCTGGCAGCAACGCTATCAAATTGAGACGCCATCTTCACTCCCAGCAGTGATTTTCCGCGAAGCGGAGCTTACGGCACACCCAGAGGGATCACAGAGGACCAACATGAAAGCGCCGAAGTCTAACAAGTTCTCCGACGCTGTCTGGGAGTTTTACTGCCCTGTCCTATAATGCTGACATATCTGACACGTTTAAAAGGCACTGAACTGTTATTCCGTGGTCATTAGGGACTCGCCGCCATCCCCCCGCACTTCACACTTCTTCGCTAATGTACCACATTAACCATCAGACTATAGCCGCGGAAGCGTTATCGACAGCAATTACGGCTTGTTTTCCTAAACTCCTTTAACATTTTTTGTAAAGAAAGTTATGCCACTCAAAGATACTAAAAAGACTGTGTATATGTTTAAAAATCGGAATACATCCATTTGAATCAGTTTTAAAGGCAGTTCACGAAAGACAATAAAAACAGCTGCAGTGGCTCCAAGAAAGTTTGGCAGCTAAACTATTATCCTGTCCGACGGGAAGTTAAATGAGGCCAATTACTTACCAGTTTGGCTCTCCAGCTCGCTATAATTTGGTTTTTTGCTGGTGAAATATTTCTTAACGAGAAAAGACCGCGGCATGGTGTATTATAGTCTGCGATTGCAGGGAAAACTGGATGTAGACGCCGGGCGCAGAGTCCCAAACTCAGCCTACAAAAGCTGAACTTAGGAAGTGAGGCAATCACGACAATAATATACCCAGCTGGAAAAAATGGCACTGCCTGCAGATTATCAGAGAAGCAAAGTCCACTCCGGCTGCCGAGAGCTGGTCAATTCGGCTCCCCAAACAGCAATTTGACTGCGACGCTCCGTGCGCTGCTCTCTCGGTGCGGGGATGTGCGCTCCTGTCCCGTCCTGGGGGTGTGCGCTCCTGTCCTGTCCTGGGGATGTGCGCTCCTGTCCTGCTGCTGCTGTTCTCCCAATAACGGAGATGTGCGCTTCTGTCCCTATGCAGGTCCTATCACGATATCGGGTGTGTGCGCTCCTGTCCCGAACCGGGGGATATGTGCTTCTCCTCCAACTCCCTCCTCTCTCCATGCCTGGGATGTACGCTGTCTCTCCGCCCAGCAACCCGAGACCGGGGACACGTCACGGCCGGGGCTGTCCCGCAGGGACAGGTGCCCAAAACCCTCCCAGGCTCTCCATGGCGATCGCTATCACACACACACATAGCCTCTATATATATATATATATATATATATATATATATATATATATATATATATATATATATATATATATATATATACACCAAACATCGGAGTATAAGACAGTTTGATATTTGGGGGGGGCATCTTAATAAAGAATAAATACCGAGGTGGTCTGATTACTGGGGGACTGGGGGGATAAAGCCAAATTAAATATTGAGGGCTACACACTCACTCAGATCCTACGCCCCTGAGCCGTAACGTAACGTGACTGCCCGTTAGTTAGCTGCCAGGATAGTCAGTGCATCTTCGCTTATACATGTACAAAGTGAAACTAAAGGCAGTTTAACAGCTGTATTGTTGCATATGAAAAAAACAGCTTTAATGACTGTCAGCAGGTCCATTGAGAGCTAAATCAATCATGTGACTCCAAATGGGAACGGCGTGGCGGTGCGGCGGTCCGCACTGTCGCCTCACACCTCTGGTCTCTGCCGTGGCTACATGTTGTGTGGAGTTCGCATGTTCTCCCTGTGCCGTTGTGCGGTTTCCTCCATAAACTCCGGCCCAAATGTCCCCCACAATGTGATAAAAAATGTTCAGGCGCTCATAAAGATCTGTGAATGCAATCTTACAGTACTTACAGTATGGTTAAGGTTAGGACTGGGTAGGGGTTAAGGTTGTCGTATTGGGATTAGAGTGTTTCCCATAGAAATTAATGGAGAGTCTGTGTGTGTGTGTTTGTGCGCATGCGTGCACCATGTAATGGGTTGGTACCCCATCCAGGGTTCTTCCCTACCTTGTTCCCATAACTTCCAGGATAGGCTCTAGATCCCCCAAAACCAACCCTGAATTGTATAAGCCGGTTCAGAAAATGGATGAATGGATGGATGAATGGATGGATGGACGGACTCGAGGTCGCTTCAGGTGCAGGTTAATAAATGCAAAGCAGACTGCATGGACAGGGCAGTAGGTAGCATAAAGAGCATAAATACTGCTTCTTCTGTGGCCTCTTGTCATGTTCTGTGTTTCAAATTTTAATTTACTTATTTACACATGAATAATAATTTTAGTTTGTCAGTTCATCAACAGCATTCGAGGTTTAAGAAATAAGTATTCAGTGCACAGCAGTAAAGTTCCAAGTTTATTAATTTATTCTTATTCATCAGGTAAGCAAGGTAGTTTCTTAATGTTAAGGCCAAGTGTCAAAGTTTATGTTAGTGATTAAATGAACCGTTCAAGTTTAACACATTTATTCTGTTACACTGTGACAGTCCTGGGTAAGCAGAACTTTAGAATTTGGATGGACAAAACTATGCTATTAATCAAACTGATTTAATGGGTATGTTATTTATTTTGCCAAAGAAATCTTATCCAGATAAATGAGATTGTAATAAAAGCAGCCAACTAAACTCACTGATGGTCAAAATGAACACATTCTTGTCACAGTCCAGCTGTCCCTAAACTGAATTTACTGTGCTGGTGAGTGTTCCGAGATGGACTGGGCTTTCAGTCAGGGTGTGTAATAGCCCAGGCATGCTGTCCAGGTGTCTCTGCATTATAGGTACCTAACTTAGCTGCCTCAGTAGATGATGTAATATTTTTGCCCATATCCATATGGAAATAAAGTCAGTTTATTTTAAAACCTGGACACCCTGAGATGGCTTTTTCACACAGGCTTTAACCCACTGTAACACTGCATTGCCGAGGGCAGCTACTGCATGTTTCCACAGCGATCAGATGCTCATCAGCCCCAATCAATACGCAGGTTAAGGGGACATGGCTCGCCGGGTGATAGCTCACAGTGATAGGCTGGCTGAACAGAGCCGTCATTTCCAGACAAGCCAGACGTGCAACTAAGTGTAACGAATTAGTCACAGTTTTAGTTGCGTCACACCAGTTGCAGCGATAAAAGCTCACAGCTCTGCAGTCAGTCACACCTCTGGCTCTTTAGCTGTTTTGCTGAAGTATATTACCTCATTCTAAATGATTTGATTAGAGATCAGGCACAGGGTGGCCTTTCTGTGTTACCCTTAAAGATCTCCAAAATTCATAATTGCTCATTTGTTTTGTTATTCATGTGCATGTTTGAACTGCATGCAGCTTGTGAAGTATGTTATGTACTGTATGTATAGATGTGTATTGCACTGTGTGCAGTAACTATGCTGTGGCTGTCAACCTTTTGCATTGCACTACTTGAATATGCACAAAACTGCGGCATTGATCACATACCTTACATTTATTTATTTCTCTTGTGTATCCTGTGCCTTGTATTTATTCGTTAACTCCATCTAACTTGTTCATTGTCATGGTATGTTCAATAGTAGCAAGTTGTGCCAACAAAAATTCCCACCGGCCTTAGTCATGTGGCAATAAGGATTTAGGTTCTGACACTGAATTATTCACCTTCCTTTTCCCAACAAATTCTGCTACCTTCCGTGTGAGTCCGGTGACAGCATCGTGCCCTCACTGTGCTCACTCACGCCGGGGTGGGCCGCGGCACCATGAGTCACACATGATGTATTGGTGCTAACAGGTTCCCACTGCTTCACCCATCTGGGCCCCATTACGCATGAGAAACATGCTAATGAGTGCAGCCCCCCCCCCCCATGTATGCATGAACAGAACATAGCTGGCGTCTGACTTCGACACTCCGTGACGACACAGAGAACGGGCCCAGCACAGATGGCGGCTAACAGGCGGTTATGTAAGCCATGCTCAGATCAGTGATTTGTTGGTGTTTTCCTCAGGATGTCTGGCACAGGCTTTGAACACACCTGAGCTGTCCAGGGAACACCAGGCTGTCCCTCAAGGTCGCTGGCACACACCACATCGGTTGTAAGCATCCCTAACGGTCGTTTATTTATATATATATATATTGACCCCCTTTCGCCTTCAGAACTGCCTTAATTCTACGTGGCATTGATTCAACAAGGTGCTGAAAGCATTCTTTAGAAATGTTGGCCCATATT